AAATAAAGTTTTACTTACTTACCCAAAAGTTCACATAAAGTTCACATTCGCCAGTCTTTGTATATTATTAGTGAACATACATGTGATCGACCGGCAAGTGCATATTTGAGTGTGTGATGGAGGGGCAACTCGTAATGATACTGCATGTTTCACTGTTGTGCAGATGTTTTACTGAAATGAATGCAGAGCAGTGCTCTTTGCTCTGACACAACTTACTTACTTGATGTGTTCATTACAGTCCTAAATGACAGAATGAAAAGCATTTCAGAGGTTCTGTGGTCGTTATACTGGTGGGCTCTTGTTTGCAGTGGGTGACACAGGTGCTGTATTCAGTTGGTTCAGTGAGAACAGTGGGGGATGTCTGGCACACTGGTGTGGGTATGGGAATTGCTTTAAGATAAGATTTTATTGATATCAATGCCATTATCTATCCTGCTTATTGGTCTGATTCTTTATCAATTCTCTTATTATTGAAAGAGTTCCATGTTGCTTCTATTGTCTAGGGTGGCGTCAACCTGCTGCCTAACCCTGAACTCAAACAGGATGCTGCTGATTTCCTGAACTATAACGGCTCCTCCCTGCGCTTCATACAACACCTTCCTTTTGTGAAACTTCCCTCAGGCTGTGGTCAGGCAGTCGGTTAGACTCGATTGTACAAAATCCGGCACATTCGATGTACACCAAAGTTACACCAACTTTCCATTTTATGGTGAAACATCAGAATTGTTTCTGAGGTTTTGTGAGTTACTGAGCATCCTAAAGGCTTTAAATGTGTGTTTTCGAAAATTTAAATTCATGCACAAAATCCAAAATGAATGACTTCAGGCAAACAATTATTTTTTATATCTCCATAATAATGATCGCAATGATCCCACCCTAATCAACAAAGCAACGTTATCCCAACCCTGGCATGCGTTTGGGGGGCACTATGGATTAAAGTATTGGTCTTAATTATTTTCTTTTTGTCATACTTTTTGGCTGACATCACGTCAGGGTGCTGTGTTGTTGTGTACATGTTGCACAGATGTGTGTTGGTACAGTCAACCGCCAATTCCCCTATTCAAAATATGTTCCCGCGAGTATGGTCCACAACCAAGCCCCAATTTCCCCAAACCTTGGTCCTTCCCCTTTTGGACCCTTGGTTCCTCCTTTCCTGTACTTCGATATGCTACGTTAGGCTTGTCTATGTTGAAAAGACAACCACCTTTAACCACTGTTAGTCTTAATTAGGTTAGCTAATGTTAACAAAACTAGATGGTCTACATAAATTGTGAGCTTTTCTTATTCTTCTTATTCTATTGTCATCAATCCATCATCAATTATCATCAAACCACAGTCCACACGCGTCATGCAGTGGTCATGTCACAGTCTCCTCTGCCTCTCACCTGCAGTGGAAATTTCCACCCCTGCTCAGCCACTCCTGCAGCCACACCCCCTCATCAGCGCAACTGCTTCCACCTGGTCACCACAGTATATAGAGCCTCACTCACCCTCTGCTTACTGCCAGATTGTTCCACTGTTATGCATGACTCTCAAGCCTGCGAATTAGGACTGGTATGGGCTGATATTTGTGT